AGTCAGTTGGTGAAATATGGTAAGAATAGAAAAATGAGGTTCATGTATTGAGCAAAATGCTTGATCTTCCACACAAGGTTTTAATGACAGTATGTCCAAAACTAGTGGGCATTGTTTAAGGTGAGAGGGGAAAGATTTAAGAGGGACCTAAGGGGCAACTTTTTCATGCAGAGTGTGGTGCATGTATGGAATGAGCTGCCAGAGGAAGTGGTGGAGGCTGGTACAATTACAACATTTCAAAGTCATCTGGATGCGTACATGAATTGGAAGGGTTTAGAGAGATACGGGTCAAATGCTGGAAAATGGGACTGGATTTATTTAGGATACCTGGTCAGCATGGACGAGGGTCTGCTTCCGTGCTATACATCTCTATGACTCTATAAGAATCTCACTAATGAGTGGCAAACGGCTTATTTGCTTGTATTAACATCTGATTATTATCAAAATCTCACCTCATTTATATGCAATTTGCTGTTTTCCCAGGTAGCTGGGAGAAATTAGATGGTGATAATTTCTGAAATTAAAATCTAATTGGGTATCTGATAGTTCCAGCTTGCTCAGAGCTTGCTCCTAGGGGTATCCATCTTCCCAAAACCTCAGGGCATGCTCCACGGGCAGCAACTGCCTGCATCCTCCATCCACTGAAGTTGGCATTGGCAAAGCACCAGCCTTCCCACAACATCAGAGCACATTTGGGACTCAGTTATGATACAGTTCAGTGTTTCATTATTGCACATGGGGTCTCACTGACACCTTGCATTGCAGTATTGCTGTCAGGCTGCTTTGCGTCCAAGGAGAGGCACTGCTCGTATAAAGAACATAAGAAACAGGAGCAGGTGTACACCATTCAGCCCCTCAACTTCACCATGCCAATCAATAGGCTGATCTGGCCCAGACCTCTTTCATGGTGGCTCCTCAAAGCCTTCAGTTCCCTGGTTTTTTCAAAAATCTACCTACCTTCTCTTTAAACACTTCCAGTGATCAAGCCTCCAAATCTCTCTGGACAGAGAATTCCAGACATTTACTACCCTCTTGGAGAATAAATTCCTTCACAACTCAGTTTTAAATGAATGTCCCTTATTCTGTAACTATGTTCCCTAATTCAAGATTCTCCCACTTAGTCGAAACATCTGCTTCAACTTTTACTCTATCAAGCCCCCTCAGAATCTTTCAGGTTTCATCAGATTGCCCACGTCCAAAGATGTGCAGGTTAGGTGGATTGGCCATACTAAATTGCCCAGTGTCCAGGGATGTGTAGTTTAGGTGGATTAGTCATGTGATATGCAGGGTTACAGCAATAGGGTAGGGGGTGCGTCTGGGTGTGTTACTGTTCAGAGGGTCCATGTGGACTCGGTGGGCTGACTAGCCTGTTTCCACACTGCAGGGATTCTATGATAATAGACAATTGGGGTTGGGGAGGTGAGTGTTGGCTCCTTATTGCCATGAAAAATAGTGATGTCCTAATTGAACAGAGGGCAGGAAGGGTTTGGTGTTTGGGGAGATGGGGTGGGTGAGACCCATTGAGGGAAGACGCTGGGTGTAACAGTGGAAGTGGTGGATTCTGAGCGTTTTTGTGTTGTGGGTGCAATGGCAGAATTAATATGAATGTGACATAGTAGAGGAAAGAAAATGGCACTTTGTGGAGCACAGAAGATCATAAACCTTCTTGTTTCTCTGCTGCTTGTTCCTCCAGACCATGGACACTGCATTGAACCAAATGGTTACTTCAGAACAGGTTGGCAGTGTTTGAGATAGTTCACAACGGAATTTAAATGATGTGTTTGAAGATCACAGCACCATCAAGTTTTTTTTTGCTGCTTCTGTGTGCAAGGTAGTGAAAGTAACTCTGTAGAGGCATGCTGCGTATGTAAACGAAGTGAGCCTTGAAGAATGGTGTAGGAAAACTTACCAAAGCTCAATGGAAATGAATGTCGATCTTTATTTCAGAGTGACTGGAGTATAAAAATAAGTAAATATTGTGAAAACTATGTAAGTCATTATTCAGATAATATTTAGGATAGTGTGAACAGTTTTTGTCCTCTTATTCAAGGAAAGATATACTTGCACTGGAGGCAGTATGGAGAAGGTTCACTACACTGATCATGGGTCTGGATGCATTTTCTTCTGAGAGGTTGAGTAGGTTAGGCCTTTGCTTGTTGGTGTTTAGAAGAATCAGAGGTAACCTTATTGAAACATAAGATTCTCACCAGGCTTGACAGGGTGTGTGCTGAGACATTGTTATCCCTTGTGGAAGAGTCTCAGACAAAAGGGCATCTCAGAATAAGTGGTTGCCTAGTTAGGTCTGAGATTAGTGGAATTTCTTCTCTCAAAGGGTAGTGAAGATGTGGAATTCTTTACTGCAAAGCGATGTTGAAGCTGGGTCATTTGTATATTCAAGTCCGAGACAGACAGATTTTTACTCAGTAAGAGAACGCAGGGTATGGGGAAAAGGTAAGAAAATAAAGTTGAGGATTATCTGTAGGTCAAATGGTTTACCTCTGCTTCTACTTCTTATGGTCTGTCATCTCAAAGGGATGTAAAAGGTCCTATGTCAATCTTGAAGAGAAGAAGGGCAATTATCCCTCGTGTCCTGGCTTGGGAGTATGGTGTGCGCAAATTGGCTTCCACATTTCCTATAACAATGACTGCAGTTCTGAAGTAGCTGTACAGTGCTTTGGAACTTCCTGAAGTCATGAAAAATGCTATTGAAATGCAAAGCCTTTCTGTTAATGAGTTAAAGTTTGGACACCTTTATTATATTTAATCTGGACAAGAATATATTAAACGAACAGACTGTAGAGAAAAAGAAACTAAAAATACAATAAAATTGCAACAAGCAAAAGAGATTCCAGAAGATCAATTTATTCTAATATAAAAATCATCCCTTACAGGATAAAAACATGGTAGAAAAGCACAGGTAGCCAAATAATACTAATTAACAACACATTTATTACAAAATTTATAATAAATATTTAAAAAAAATATTTTTTCCAGGATCAGTTAACATTCTTTATTGCTTGTGTTCATTATTAAAAAGAAATACTTATTTAATTTTGTAACTAACTCATTCACATTTCAGGATGATTTTACAAAACAGGTAGATTCATAGTGACTGTACCGAGATAAAAATTAACTGCAATAAAACAAGACTTAAAAGTTGTTTAAAAGGACAGAGTAGCAGCTTTACCTGAAGAGGTTGGATTTCAAACAAACTACAAAAAATACAATGCACTGTTTTTACACTGCATTCTGTATACAAACTAAAAGAAACATCAACTTTTGAAAAATAGTATGTGCTTGTAAAAATGCTTTCTTAAACAATAAGTGTCTACAAAGTCCATGACAGAAATGTAGCCCTGAACCGTAACTGGCTGAATCTAGTTGTTCTTTAATTTAGAACACTAATGTGTTCAATCTTAGGGAAGGATGGAAAGAATATTCCCAATATTTGTTGCAAAGTTCTTATTGCCTTCAAAAAGGAGTTGGATCAGTCTTTCTTTGTGGCAGAGTAGAAGGCAAGTGTCTTTATGGATAACATTTGGTCCACTAGCTTTAACAGCTGAAGGGGTTGGAGAAAAATAATTTGCATATATTAGTGGCCTGTTCTACCTATTCTGATGTGTGGGGCAAGCTCAAAGGATCAGCTGTTTTTTTCTTACTTTCTGTCAGTTTCACATGTTTGGATAAAAACTACTCCTTCCTCTAAGTAAAATCTATACTTGATAGTGGTTCCTTCACTTTGCATTAGGACTATTGCTAGCTACGATAGACTTTAAAACACCATTCAATGCTGTAAATGAACAATTAACTATTCTATTTGCTCGAAGTAACTGGAATGCATGCATAAAATGAATAATACTCCATTCACAATGTATGTAGCAGGCTTCAATTCTCATGAACATAATGTTCCACAATGCTCTTATGTGCGGTCCGTTTGAGAGTAAACAGTGTGAAACTGAAATGAACGAGATTTAAACATATTATATAGAATCTAGAAGAGCCTCTGTTCATCTGGCCCCATCCAATGGCATCTCCTGCAATTTTGCTGGTTATGCTTGACAAAATTTAAAATCAGCAGATGGAATTTCTGAAATGCTTTGAAAAGCGTAATTCCAAATATGATAGCTTAGTCTATGACACCCCCTGATCTGATTTTGGGGTTTCAAACTGACATTAATCCTTAAACTCCCAAGAATACTGGAACTACATTCCTTTCATAGACTTCATGACTATAAAGGTGAGTCAAAAAGAAGTTAACATATGAATCCAGTAATTTTACAACATGTTGTTAACACCTAAAAATACAATAAAATTGCAACAACCAAACGAGATTCCTCAAAACTGCCGAGCATTCAGAATGGTAACAGGAAACGTGCAAGTAGTTACATCCTTAAAGGTAAAACACGCTCCACTTTTGATTTGTGCCTCTGAACATTCATTCATAAACTTCAAGACATTTTAAAACACACAAGTATTCAATTGTGAAAAAAAAATCTTTATAAAAGACAAATTCTCTCAACTGGCTTGTGCAAAGTCCAGAGGCGTTCCTCTTTAGAAGTGGTTAGTAAGTTACTCAAAATAAAGAGGTTGTCAAAGAACATCGCATGTTTCTCAGGCAATCTGTCAGCCATCAAGTCTATTTTGCTCTTTTTGTGAACCAATTCAAATGCTTTGTCAAAAGACAACATTGGAGTAACATGTTGCTTAAAATTTCATTCAATTCATGTACCTTTTCCTCCATATTACTGTTCAAACACACCTAAATGCTCTAGATGAAGAGTCTGGCTAGGTTATTGCCATTGTGCCAGTGGGTGGCATGGTAGTTCAGTGGTTAGTGTTGCTGCTTCACAGCACCAGGGACCTGGGTTCAATACCACCCTTGGGCGACTATCAGAATGGAGTTTGTACATTCTCCCTGTGCTGCCCAGGTTTCCTCTGAGTGCTCTGGTTTCCTCCCACAGTCCAAAGATGGGCACGTTAGGTGAATTGGCCATGCTAAATTTCCCTGTAGTGTGCAGGCTAGCTGGATTGAGTGAGATGCTCTTTGGAGGGTTGGTGTGGACTCGATGAGTTGAATGGCTTGCTTCCATACTGGAGGGATTCCACAGTCTTTACAGTAGGGAATGGTAGCATAGTGGTTACTTTATGAGATAAAGAAATGCAGAGATGTGACAGCTATAGCTTCTGTTAATTAAACAAATCTGATCTTAAAAAGCTAGTATAAGTAGTAGTAGCTATGTAACTACCAGAGTGTTGTTAAAAACACATCTGAATCACTGATCAAGTAATTAGGGGAAATAATCTATCATTTTACCAGCTCCTACATATCAGGTATATCAGACCCCCATCAATATGACTGACCCTTAACTGCCCTCTGAAATGACTTAGAATGCCACCCACAGCTTTCACAATGGCAGCCTACCACCATCTTCTCAAGGACAATTAGGAATAAGTAAAGTATATGCTCTTTCTAAATGCACAACAACCCAGAAATTCCTGCATTGGCTGCACCCAAGTTGGTCCCTTGAAGGTAACACATGTATTTCTACACAAAAAGTGCTGAAAACTGGCAAGAATTGGCTGTCAAAACAGCAAAGTAACTGGGGATGTGTTAATGGACAGAAGTGCTAGCTTTGCCAGTAATGCCTTCATCCAGTGAATAGCAACAGAGAGATTCTTCCCATAACCATTCTGTGGAGTGCACGCAGCAGACAATAGCATGAAAGTCAAATGTTTGAAGTCTGATATAATGATAGAGCCCAGGTAATATTTTGCAAATTTATAATAAACCACAGCTAATGGTGTTAAGTCGTCTCTGCCATACAAACCTGCAGGTTCTTAAGCAAGATTGAGAAAGGCATTTGCCTGAAAAGCAATGATTTTAAACCTTTGAATGTGCAATAAGAGACACAGAATCTGAATGAAAAGATTCAGAATCTTCAGACTGAAAAATAAAATCTGAAAATGCACAAAACTTCACCTTCGATAATCATCTCTAATATTGTAAAAACTGGATCCAAAATTAAGCTTGTATTACTTGTTTGCTTGGAAACTTGCGTAAATCTGTCTGGATTTTCCAATCTCCACAGAAGTGGTTTTAACTTGTATGATGGTCAAATGTTGATTTTGATTCATTTCAGATTATGTGCTCATTTCCATCAGAACTAAATTTAATTTCCCTTAGTGGTCCAATCTATGAGACAGATTTACAACATAGAGAAAACCTTAACTCAATTAAACAGTAATAAATAATAGCCAAACCAAATTGGATTCAGTATAGTCAGATGCTGTTGATACAATATTGATTCTTGATTGCAGAGGCTTGATATCCATTGCCAGACTATCAATCCTTAAACATACTTTATCCAGTAAATCAGAGAATTCAAAACATTGGCAAGAAATCATTTGATTAGCAATCTCTTTTGATGTATATCACACACTCAGGACTGAATGGTTTACATTTCATCCTGTAACCCCCAATCCTTTCAATTTAAATTATAAAATTAAATTGAACAAAAATAGACTGATTATTGAAAATAGATGAGGCTAGCATGGAATTAAGATTGTTATTTTGGATGCAGCATGTTATCCTGAGATTAATAACTAAAAGAACATTTCAGAGTTAGGTAACATATCCAACCAGCTAACAGAGTGTGTAAGACCTTGTTAATAGGAAAAGTACAGTGCTATGATACAAGCTATTGCATCAGTGCATGTTTATTTCTAAGGTCACTAAAAACCATAGTAGTTTAGTACCAGAATTCCTCCAGAATATTTACATGGCACTTGAGGTAAAAAGACTGCAAATTACATAATTTAAAACAACAAATTTTTGAACAACCCTACAAAGTGTACAAGATAATAACATTTATGTTGTCCCACTTGTGTACCACGTGGCATATTAGGATCATAAATTTCTCAATGGGAGCACAGATACTTCCCTCTTGCTGTTAATGGATTTTATCTAATGTAACAACCCAAATACATGTAGAAGATCCTTCACACCTTATTTCAGACAAAAGTAACTCATTTGGCCAGTCTGTAACTACACAGACTGGCAGGTGATCTTGATTTGAAGTAATGGAAATCTTGCCACATGACAGCAAGTCACGACGGACAGAGAATTAAACAGCCTGCTATCTTTTACAGCTATGAAGTAGATATTTAACTATTGGACAATGCAAACAAATGGCATGAATAAAAACATCGATTTGGAAAATAATCCACAATGACAAGACTCAAGTTACACTTTGTGAATTGCCCTCATTTCCTATTGGTGATTCTCCATCTGTATAACGTAACACCTTCCATGTCTGTGAATCTAAGCAATAGAATTCTGAGTACTATTTAGCAATATTTGGTTGGTGACTCTTAAGGCTAAGCTTTCTCCATGTTGTTTGAATGTAATCAGTGAGTTTGCAATGTGACTGATGCACAGTGAACATTACGTTCACTACCTTCTGTGCCCTTTGTAAGGTACCTACGTCATTTCCCAGGATCCATGAATCATTTGCTTGTGAGCCAGCTGCTTGAGGTCAGCTTTCAACACGTACCATCATAAGGTGGCAGCAGAAAGGAACTGTGTGCAGAAATAATTCACACGCTGGCTTGTCAAACACAAAGTAGTGCGTCAACAAATGCATGTATGTGATGCCCTTAAGGTAAATTACAAGAGTATTTAAATGATACAGGAATATCTCAAACAAAACACAATACTCTGACGTCAGTGGCTTAATAGTTGGTGACATTCTCGGATGGCTTTGGCCTTGTAGAGGTCTGATGAGAGTGACTTCACCATTTTCTTTGTGGTCCTTTTTATGGTCCTGGCTGCATTGATGGCCTGGTCTAGGGAGCAATTGAGATCTGACAGCTTTGGGAAAAAAAAACACACACATGAAAAGGACACATACTTGAGATTCCTCAATCATTCAACAAAATCTACTTGCATTTTCTCTTCTGGTAACAGGCGAGTTCTTTTCAAATTGGGTGCTCTGCTCTGAGTAGCAAATTAAAGTGTTTGGGTACACTACAGGGCCAGGTATTGGGAGGTTAGGGATGAGAAACAAACACTAACTTTTGAAAATGAGGCCCACATCCCATTAAAGAGCAAATTTGAAAGAAAACCTTTCAGAATGACCAAGAGTTTCCTGGGCTCCAGTATTTTTTCCCCAGCCACCAGCTCCAATGATTTGGGTGATGTGTGACTTAAACATCCTGTGATATCACTGGCTGCTGGTTAGAGTGGCCTCCGGCTTGGTGACAGAAACAGAAATCACTGGAGAAACTCAGCAGCAATGGTGGAGACAAACCAGAGTCAACATTTCAGTTCTGATGACTCTTCTTCAGGACTGAGTTTAGCTAGGTCAAGGTTGGTATATATGCCGAAGATGGCTGGGGGAGGGGGTGGTGGTGAGAGGAGTAAACACTGGGTGGAGATGGAGCCCAGAGAGACAGAAAAACAGTTGGGAAGACAAAGGAATGGGTAAAGGTCAATCTGGGACAATGAATAGCTGCTAATGGGCTCTGTTAGTAGCTGACAATGGGTTGTTTGTAGTAGCAGCCCATGTGATGACAAGGCCTGGTGGTGGTGTGCAGCGATGGGGAGGTTGGTGTTAAGGACAGTGTAGCAAGTGCTTAGTCGCTAAAATTATTGAACGCGATATTGATTCCGGACGGCTGCAGGGTCCCTAAGCAGAAAATGAGATGCTGTTCTTCCAGCTCTCGCTGAACTTCACGAGCACTCCAGCAAGCCTGAGACAGTGATATTGGCCAGGTTGAAATGGCAGGCAAACAGAAGCTCAGGATCATTTGTGTGGACAGAACAACTTCTCCCATGTCCTTACCCCAATTCCCATGTACACCAGGCCTTGTCATCACATAGGCCGCTACCACAGTCAACCCATTGTCAGCTATTAAAGGTCCCCATTAGCAACTACTGATTTTCCCTGGCTGACCTTTACCCATTCCTTTTCTGCCTACCTGCTGTTCTCTTTGTCTGGGCTCCATCTCCAACTATCGTTTACTCCTTCTCCCTCACCCCACTTCTTCTCTAGCATATATACCAACCTTTTCCAAGCTGAAATCAATTCTGAAGAAGGGTCACTGGACCCAAAATGTTATAACTTTGCTTTCTCTCCACAGATGCCTGCCAGACCTGCTGAGTTTCACTAGAAATTTCTGTTTTTGTTTCTGTTTTCTACCATCTGCAGTTCTTCGATTTGTTTCTTCAGCTTGGTGATATCATCTGACTGTTTCCTCAGAGCTGTGATCACATGGACTGCAGCTAGGAGGGGGTGCTGGAGAGTCAGCAATGGAACAAATCAGTTCTAATTTCAGAATGGAGGAAGAGAAGGAGATTACAGAATGGGGTTCTGAGTGGGGAATGGCATTCCAGAGTGGGGAATAAGGCTAATTTGACTACTGGTAAATTAGGAACTGGGGGATGGAATGGGGCCTTACATTTCCCCTCCTTCTCAGTTTCTGTTTTTTTTCCTGAACATGGAATGACCCATGGCTCTTGGAAATTCTCACCTAACCTTTATAAGGTAAATGCAACAACATAGATTGTGTGGGGTTGACTGGACAGCTGGTTTGCAATGCAGAGTGAAAGTGGGTTCAATTCCTCCTCTCCCCGAGGTTACCACAAAAGCCTCTCCTCTATATCTCCCCTCACCTGAGGCATGGTGACCTTTAGTTTAAGCCTCTGCCAGCTCTCTCTCTCTCTCTCTCTCTAATGAGCGAGCAACCCTATGGCAAGACTTTGGCGGCTTTACCCTTCTGTAGAAGGCATGTGATCAGGCATCACATGGTCAGAATGTCACGTGAACAATAGTTGGTAATCATATGTCAGAAAACGTCTGACTAATTAAAATTGTTGATCACTAAGTTTAGCCTCTTACAATACATTTTACCACCACCTTCGAAAATGTCAGTGTTGATTTCAGCTGTACTTTAAAAAATGTACAGGATGTTGTGTTTTTGACGAGGTCAGCCAGCGGGACCTCAGAATACGAGTTCCCTGATTGGGACTGTTAATCTGGTCCAATCAGGGAGCCCTGGCTGACATTAAAGGGTGAATGTCAGGGACGGTGGTCCTCTGAATGCCCGACGCAGTGCTATTGTTAAGGGCTATGCATTTGTAAAGAAAGGGTGATTGGTAATGGGATGTCCGCCTCTGAAGAGTTATTTCACAGGTCTAGGAAGCCAGAGGTACTACTAATTTCCAGCATTAATGATTCACCCTGATTGGCATTTCAAAAAGAGAGAAGTTAGAGAACCAGGGATTGCAAACATTCTTCTTACCGCAAATGCTTCACCATTAAAGTAGGAAATGTCATCTGTTGTTGAGGGTCGCTGACGGTAGCTTTTTGATCTCTTTCGTGCAGTTGTTGGGGTTGACTCTCTCACTTTGTATTTGGGTGAATAGTAGAAGTGTGACTGTACTGGTGATGCGTATGTGCAGGCCAGTGAAGAATAACTATTCAAATAATCCAAGGTAACATATCAGAGACTGAGCAAATGCACTAAAATAATTAGCATCACCACCAACTTGTAATTCCTTTTGTATTGAGTTAGCATTACCATAGGTACTCCTCTGGGACAAGTTTAACGGGTGGGATAAGGGTGGAGGGAAAATCAGCACAAGATTGTTTTGCTACTCTGACCCATGTCCCTGGATTGAGGCTATTCACAATGAACAATGGGCCGGTTTTTTCACAACAAACAGGATTTACATCAGCAAGAGGAAGGCCGTTACTACAAGGCTGCTAAATTAGGAATATTGCTGTTAGTATGACAAAGAAAGAAAGCAGAAAATAAAGGCAGCAGAAAGAACTCCAATATGACTTGAGGGCAGATTCAGAGGAGGCTAAAATGAGACCATCCATTTGGGTCTGAGGCAAGGGAGAAATAGACAAGGCTGTGCCTCCCGTTTGACAGGAGCCTTCAACAAAAGCCTCCACAGGTGCCCCAAAATTCACTGTCAAGTGATTTCTGAAGATGTCGCAAAGTGGGAAATATCAAGCCAATTCCTAGGCTCCATCAGCCCTGGTGGTTTTCATGAAGTAGTGATTTCATCTCTAGGAACGGCCAAGCAAAACCTTTTGCAGGTCTGGTAGGGGGCAATGGATAAACATCCAGCTGTAAGGAAATTAACATGAGCTCAGCAGCTTGGAAAATGTTACCGATAGATCAAATAGATTTTGACATGATTAGCAGAAAAGTAAAAATGAACAAAAAGGATGATGATAGTCCTAAGATCTCCTTTTGGAGCATCCTACAAAATGGCAGCCTGAAACTTCTGGCCCTCAGACCCACAGAAATGAAGTTTGGTTTTGTAATACTCACTAAGCTTGTGAAGAATAAGGCACATAGTGAGCTGTTGGAACGTAACTGAACATCGGCGAAGGCTCAACAATATGGACATTGTGCTGCTTCCTGGCCTTACGGCTCCGTCCTGCGCTTTTGGGGAGCTCCTCTTTAGCAGCTGCCAATACCAAAGGGAGAGAACTGAGACAACATTCAATGGTGGATGGACAACCCCATGTTCAAGGCTATTTAACCCAAGCTCAGCTTATACACTGAGTAAATCTCTCGTGTTTTGGCACATCCTACTTTAAATCAACATTTAAAATCTAAGCATGAGCTGAGTCACGCTGGTCAATGGTCTGATTCCCAACTTATTGTGTTCATCTCCCGGCATTCTTTTTCGCTGGAAGGTGCTTAGCAGACATTCTGTCAACAGTGTTACCAGTTGCTTCCATTGATGAGATAGGAGAATCGGTGTGGCGCCACCTCTAGAGATCCTGGGGGGGATTTGCGGTTAGGCCACATCTACTGACATGCGTATACTGCTGTGCCACTAGGGGAACGAGATGGTTTTTATTGTTGATGGTGGGGATTTTAACTTGAATACCTTTTAATCAGTATCCTCTTCCCACAACAGCAACGTTAAAAAAAAACACAATGCTTAAGAGAACAGAACATGGCAAAGGCTAGCATCACAGGACTCTTCCCTCGAAGAGTTTTATTTTTAACATTTGTTGGAAGTTTGATTTCTGTAAAGTTGCACCTCTCTGCAGTGTATTGATAATTGCATTGTGCACTGTATCCACTTAAGGCTATGCATACCCCAGCAGTCAGAATCTAGAAGAAAACAAAGGAATCCATGGTTTTAACAGCATGTACAGTTCTGAATCTGAATGCTTCTGGCTAAATATCTGAATTGTTTCTTTTCAAGGACTTTGCAATCTTCTGCCATCAATGCAAAATATTCTGTTCCAGAAGATTAAAATCCATTTGATAAAAGATTCCGAGTGGAAGAAAATCTGAAATGATTTGTGACCTAATTGGACCAGTGAAGAATGGAATTTATTGTGACTCAAACAATGATGGCAGATTAAGCACACTTCCTTTGGTGTCATAGCAAATGTGTAACTTTACCTGACTCAACCTCAAAGAGAGGTGATCAGCATGAAACCTGCAGTGCAGTAGTATTCACTGGTGCTATGCATTGACTATCATTGAGTTTGATATTTAAAATGTTGACAGTTCTATTATCCTCCATAATGAAGATTTTACATTGTGAGCATCATCTATAAAACCAATTTTTAAAAAGCAATACTGCAACAGATTTGCTAGGATTGGCCCTGACTTTCTAATATAATCTAAAGCAGGCTTCCAACTCGATTGATAGCACAGAAAATGTAAACTCCATCCGTGTATTCCAGTTCTGGTCTTGCCCTACGATAGCTGGCTGTTCAGCACATTGCAAGTCTTTAGCTAAGCTTCGTTGTGAGTAGAGACAGCAGTGAAGACATTAGGAATGTGGCTTTACTCCTGGAGCTGCTACATCCCTTTGCAGAAATTAAATATAGGATAAATCTGTCCCAGGAAATTGAGATACTGCTGCATATAGCATCCACATATGCTCTCTTTTGACTGGGTCCCATTTTCTAAATGTACTTTCCAAAATAAATTGTTTGAGCTCAGTTTAGGAATTCCTAAACTAACATATCCATAAAGTCAGGTGTATGTGCCAGTCTTGCTCCCAAAGGATTGTAATTAACACACTGAAAGTGCCCTCGTTCATACCAGTGCCAAAGACAAATCTTGCCTGAGTGTGGTGTTTGAGTGTCTGGCATTTTTGGAAGCAGAAGTGATCAGCTGGTGCATTAAACCAGTCACATTGTGGTGCAACTTTGTGGTTGGGGGTAGGGGTTGGGAGGGCAGTGGCATAGTCTCAATATCACTGGAGTAGTAAATCCAGAACATGGGTTTGAATCTCACTGTGGTGGATGGTCACATTTGAATTCAATAAATAGGTGGAAAAGACAGCTGGCCTAATATAGCATGCATGTCATTTTTCTGGTTCACTAATGTCCTTTAGGAATGGAAATTGCCATCTTTAGGTGGCCTGGCCTATGTGTGGCTCTACAGCTACAGCAATGCACTCTGGGCAATTATGGATGGGAAAGAAATGCTGGGCTTAGCCAGCAACACCCACATCCCATGAACGAATATAAAACCATGCAATCCTGGCCCTCATGACACTGCACCCACCAGCAGCCACGTATTATCTGGGAATGGCAACCATTCAGAGGAAATACAATGCTAATTTTAAGGGGCTAAAGAATCCAGGAAATACCTCCCTGACCTTGGGGGACCACAGCGATTAGGAGACACATTGCCCAATGCTTTACCTGCTTTTTGTATAACACGATTCATCACACTGAACATCTGCAGTGAATCTGTACTCACTGCACGAATTGGCAACTTGTTCTACAGTCCGTTCGCACTCTGTGAACTGAGATTTCTCTCTCAATAACTAATGTTCTTTTATTTTCACATAGCTTATATACGTGTCACCTCATCCTCCATAACTATCTAATCAAACAGTGTAGTCACATGGACCAAGTCTAAACCTTTCATTATTTTAATGGACCCAATCGTTAACTCCTGAAACCACATTTTGCTGTAACAGTTGATGTCAATTTGGCTCATTAATGAGTGAGTTAAAAGCAATTATTCCCCCGTTCACCTGGATTTAATTGTGGATCAAGGATTCAATGGACTTGCACAGGTTTACTGTGCCTCATGTGTTTGCCTTTGTCCTTGTGGGAGACGGGATGGTCCTTCATTGTCAAGTATTTCATGCCTGATAGAAGGAACTGAGACGATGATCCCACTGAAAAGCCACTCATTTGTTCTTGCGTAGACCCCCCCGCTACCCCTATCTTGATGGTGACCCACCCTTCCCTACAAATCCCTTTATGTCCTCATTCACTTGTCTCCATGGAACCAGCATGCTCTCAGCATTACCGGCAGCAAACACTGGGAATAAATAGCTGGTGATCTCTGATTGACAGGCAGTTTCCGAGAGCAGGTATTCCAACCCCTGGGAAATTTGTTATCTTGGAAGGTCTTAGGCTGGCCAGCTAATGTGCTGGACTGCGCTTAAATAGTACTGGGCCTCCGCACAGAAACAACTGGTTTTCAAACTGTTTATGTGGCTGTAACTACATTCTTCTGACATGAGGGGATCAAAATTGATAAAGGCAAATTAAGACAAGTGTTTATGAGGTGTAGACACTATTAAAGGAAGCTAAAAAACAATCAATCATAACTTCTCAATTGTGATGGTGCAGTTCATGACTTCAGAAAGTCCTGAATGTGAATGTATTTGATCCGTATAGCATCATCCATTATTACACAAACTAAATCTGAACACAGACAGAGACATGATAATCATTTTTGTCTTTCACTGAAATCTACTTACCATGTTCTGCTTTCACTTCTGATTTCTGGTCTGTGCATGTTCTAGATCCTTCACATACAGGGCAGCAATTCATTTTGAGGCTACTAGTGGAAATAGGAGCACTCCTTGATGGGGCATTTGCTAAAGAAACAAAATACACAGTCTCACCATCCATTGGAATGTGAATACTACTGAAATGCTAAATAATAAATGAAATCCCTTCACATGAAGCCATATTACCTGAAGGAGATGTCAGGTCTTAACTTTTAATGTAATGAAATAGCAACATTGTGTGAGAATAGCTGGAGCAGAGTGACCCGAATTAAAGCTGGACTACTTTAACCGCAGTTCTTTCGGTTTTTACTTTAAGATTTGCAGTGGCACAGTGTATTAGTGCGTAAATTATCCTGCTGCTTCTTGTCCCAGTTTTGAAAAATACTGGAGTAGCAGGAAGTGAGGAACTAGTCAAATCGACTGTAATGCTTTTTTCTGCCAATTAGTGCATTTTCAATTTTCTTTAAAAGCAGATGTTTACAAAATAGGAACATTAAACTTTCTACCACGTGGGGTTCCCTTGGCTTCACTCTCATTCATTCAATGCTTGTAAATTAATCTGGGGAAGCCTTGTCACAGAAAGTTAAAAACAGGCTTGAACGTTGCACTTACCAGTCATCTGTGCTCGGGTTTGTCTGCAGTAAGGGCAGGATGTTCCTCCGGCTGTAGATCCCTCCATCGAGCTCAGTGGCACAAATAAACTATAATCAGTGCCTAGAAAACAATTATTACCAGTAACCATTTCTTTGGGGAAAAAGGGGAAAAACAAGATAATGGACACGTCATGGCACTTCGATTGCAGTCATGCCTCCTTCAAGAACAGCACAGAGGATGGGGCTATAATTCACTCAGAGATAGTAAGAACTGCCGATGCTGGAGTCAGATATAACACAGCGTGGAGCTGGAGGAACACAGCAGGCCAGGCAGCATCAGAGGAGCAGGAAAGTTGATGCTTCGGGTCGGGACCCTTCTTCAGAAAGGCTTTGCAGTAGGGTTATAACTGACTCAGAGATAGTAAGAACTGCTGATGCTGGAGTCAGAGATAAACACAGTGTGGAGCTGGAGGAACACAGCAGGCCAGGCAGCATCAGAGGA